CGATACAGAGCGCCATGAAGATGATGGGGACGATACTGCTTATGAGGACGGAGACGAGGTGAACCTGCATCACAATACCCAACTGAACGCTGGAAATGGTCCTGGTCGTAATGCAGTGCTGAAGATCTTTACTCGGAATGCAAAGCAAAGCTGGCGTGCTCTCGTCGCTAAGTCTACGTCCTCATTGGGAGCTATTCCTCTTCCCAAGTCACCGACCAGCCCAGTATCCGATTTTCGACCGAGAGCGAAATCGCCCACGAAGAGTGAGCGGTTTAGCCCTGGAATAGGGCTTGGCTTTCCTGACCAACGGTTCAGGGGCGTCAGCACTGGACCGGAACCTACGTCTGGGCTGAGTACGCCAGTAATCGGGGTGGGTATGGGAAGAAGCCAGCCAAACTTGGTTCTTGACACGGGGATGAATGAGCCCCCTGAGGATGCGCAGCCAAGGGCGAGTGTAGATGGTGGTAGCAAGAATGTGACGAGCGTACTGGGGACTGCTGGAGCGGGGGGCACTCTCGCCCCCCCAGCTATGGTTCGGACTAATTCGAACGCTGGATCTGCTGCGGGCAATTCTGCAAATGCACCCACAGAGGACTCTTCAGACTCGGAGAATGTGAGGGGGGTATACGACACGTCAAGCAAGCAGCGAGTCCCGAGCTGGTGAGTCTATTACCTTCTAAGAATCTCGGTCTAACCATCTGCTAGGTGTGACCGTATCGTGTACAAATCCATGGTTCTTCCTCCCCAGTCGCCCCCCTCCCTTCCTGTTCCCACCTTCACCGCTCCCTTGTCGGACAGCCTACACGAAGATAGTCGGTTCGGCCGTGTTGGAAATCTCTTTAGGCATCGAGGCTCCCGAGGGCGAAAGGATTCGCTACCCCAATTCGGCTCGCGAGAAAATACTCAGGGCTCTCTATCTCGTTCGGGTTCGCTGCGCTTGAAAGAGGCCAACTCCAAGGCCAACTCGGGCTACGCGCGTGCAAGGGAGGCTCATCTATCTGAAACTAGAGCAAGCCCATTCCTGCAACATCCAGGGGACGGTGACGATAGTGGAATTGTGATTATGCATGGAAACTCTTCTCGACCGGGCAGCTCAGGGAAATCTGTAAAGAGACCGGGGAGTTCAGGCAAGCGGCCGGGGAGTGCAGGTTCAACCGGTACGACCGGTGCGGATCAGCCAGCCTCGTTACATTGGCCACGTACCAACCCATTTGCGCGCCTCTTGCATCCGCATCTCCATACACCAGGCGGTCCCGGTCTGATTCATGCCGTATCGATGGAACCTCAGCCTCAACCCAGTGCCGAACCGAGTCCGATACCTAGACCACGATCGTTCTCTACGTCCGAAGGACGGGAAAAGACTCGTGATAGGGCAGGATCGGGTCCCGGGACCCCTCGTCAATCGGATGGTGATGCCGATAACCCACAGGCTGCACCCACCAGGGACGACGGGATCTGGCGTTTCTTCAGGTTCAACCGGGAGCCTACGGTTGTCGTAGCAGAACCCGAACCTGAACCCGAGCCTGAACCTGCGCCAGATCCACAAATCAGGCGCCGGGGCGATATTATTTGCGTATCGTATGGGACACTAGACGATAGGGAGATGCAGAGATTAGGGGGCCGGAGTGACCATAGACCAGTTATTGGTACGTGTTCAGCTGGGTGATCCAACTAGTACTAACGATATAATAGGGACGTACGCGGTGTACATTTAACTTATATATTCATAGATAATTTATTCGAGTCTTATGTCTGATGATAATGCGTTCATACTTGTATAATTGTCCAATCCCACGGGGGTTATATAATCTCAGGTTCCATCACCAGTTTCCCACGGGCTCATTTCCCACGTCTGATATTCAGGGTCTTCTTGGGGACTTATTTACCCGACGTCGTTGATATTCTCAGCTCAGAACTTCCCACTCGCGACAACTACTAGACACGATGGCCAAACTCGAGAACAAGGTTTGCCTAATGTAAGCCGCTCATCCTGCCGGTAGCCCCTGCTAATGCAATCGCAGCGTCCACGACGGATGGGGCGTATCCCCAGTCGAAAAGGGGAATGCGGTCTTTGGTGGTGATACCACCAATATGGATACTATTGGCAGGAACCACAGCTATCGCACGTTGCAAGCCCATGGTCTGGCTGTCGGCCTCAGCGATGGGCTTATGGGCAACTCGGAAGTTGGGTAAGCCAGGTCGCACCAACCCACTCGACGCGCTCTCACAGCCTTTCAGTCACTTGAACATTGGGGCTGGACGCATTGTGTGGCAAGACATTGTGCGCATCGACGTTGCGATCAAGAAGCGCGAGTTTCACAAGAACAAGATCATCCTCGAGTCGTGTCAACATGCCAAAGAGACGTCTGGACGTCTCCATCTGCTTGGCCTGATCTCGGATGGTGGCGTTCATTCCCACATCAACCACCTAAAAGCACTCTTGGAAACTGCCAAGGAAGTTGGCGTACCCAAGGCGATAGTCCACTTTGTTGGAGATGGACGTGATACTGCACCTCGTTCCTCATCAAAATACCTCAAGGATCTCCTAGACTTTATGCAAAAGGAGCAGTACGGAGAGATTGGGACTGTCGTCGGGCGATACTACGCTATGGACCGAGATAAACGGTGCGAACATCGATGTCACTAGTAGCTTGACTAACGGTAACGTAGTTGGGAGCGAGTCAAGATTGCTATCGACGGTCTGGTTTCTGGAGAAGGAGAAAACTCCTCTGATCCTATTGCAACCATTGAAGAAAGGTACAAGAAAGACGAAACGGACGAGTTCCTGAAGCCGATTATCGTGGGAGGAGGGGAGACACGGATCAAAGGCAAGTTTCCCCGAGGGTGATCGGGTTGCAACTCACCCCTTTCAATAGACAAGGACACGATCTTCTTCTTCAACTACCGTTCGGATCGCATGCGTGAAATTGTATCAGTGTTTGGTTTGCCTGACAAGCCGATGCAAGTCACCGTTCCTAAGGATCTGGTATGCCCTTTGTACTTTGCACCTGACCCGAAATTAACGCCCTGCAGCACATCACGACCATGTCAAGGTACAATGCCGAGTTCCCCTTTAGTATTGCATTCCCTCCGCAAGCAATGACCAACGTCTTGGCCGAATGGCTTGCGAAAAAGGGTCTCAAGCAATCTCACATTGCCGGTTTGTGGCGTCACTATATGCACGGATTCAGCCCTCTAACGTGTATTCCAGAAACTGAGAAGTATGCGCACGTTACGTTCTTCTTCAATGGCGGCGTGGAAAAACAATTCGAACAGGAGGATCGAGAACTAATCCCTTCGCCTAAAGTCGCAACCTACGACAAGCAGCCCGAGATGAGCGCACAGGGCGTCGCCGACAAGGTTGCCGAGACTATTGCGGGAGGCAAATACGACTTTGTAATGTGCAACTTTGCCCCGCCTGACATGGTGAGCCCTTCCAGTGTTGCTCACAACCTAGGCTAAGCAACCACTAGGTTGGGCACACTGGTGTGTATGACGCGGCTGTACAAGCCATCACGGCAACCGACAAGGCTGTCAAGGTATGCATACCCAACCGAATTTTGCTATTGGCTAACTCGCATCCAGACTGTGTATGACGCTTGTCAGAAAGCTGGGTACATTCTCGCCATTACTGCGGACCACGGAAATGCCGAACAGATGATTAACCCCGAGACCGGCAATCCACATACAGCGCATACTACCAACCCTGTGCCTTTCATTATTACCGGTGATCCAGCCAAGTATGGCCTAGCAGGTGATGAGGAGAACGGTGAAGACGAAGAGGGCAAAGGCGCATTGGCAGATGTTGCACCCACCATTCTGGACCTCATGGGATTGGACAAGCCCAAAGGTAAGCGATCCGTATTGGCCTGTGGTTAGATCTGACGTGTTGTAGATATGAGCGGCCGGTCACTCCTTTTACGCAAGTAGACGGACTGTATAGATATAAAGACAATGTATTGTGAAGTTATACAATGAATACATCTCCAGTTATATGCAGACTTCTGGGCCTACCGAATGCATTCGTGCATTTGGAAAGCAAGTGATGTATAAGGTATCGTGTCTTCGGCTCCAGGCTGAGGTCTGGTATGGTCAATTTATGTTCAAATCCAAGCCGAGCAACTCACTCTTGTGGCCCAAGTACCTTGAGCCCTCGGATGTGGGTATCCTTTCCGTTCATATAGTTGGCAGCAACCATAATTTGAATGGCGTAGCAATGTAGGGGCCGGCTGGTAGGCCAGTAAGACGCGAGAAACCGAAAACGACGCCTCGACTCACGCGCCAGTGCCATCGTCCGAAAGATCCATAGACACATCGAAATCGAGCCATTCGTTGGGCTTTTCAAAGCCAACGTAGCGTACTTCCTGGAGGTCATTCAAACTCATCCCTAGGATTGTTAGTAAAATTCATGTGATATATTAGAACCCACCAGCTCGGATAGCAAGCCGAACAGGCGTGTACGAATCATCCTGGTCAAACTTGAGTAATATGGCGATTTTCTACAACGGCTTAATAATACACCAAGGGGGTACGCGCTGGAGGTTACCTGTACGGCGACTTTTTTATGGAACTGGAGTGTAATATAGTGGGGTTGTGGTCCATCACTCCTGTAATTCTAATTAGAGCGGACTTGACGAAATATTAGATCACTTACTGCCAGAATGTTTCTGGATCATCGTCCCGTAGGCAATCGACATTAAACCCGTACTTGTAGCTTGATACACTCCATGTTGCCAGATGCCCGATATCAGGAAGTTTGCTCTGGTAATGATCTATCAAACAATGAGTTGAGAAGAGCAGGATGAGTCTTTAGACGCACCAGTCATGGTCAAACCCAAGTTACGGGTGCTGCACATGACCTCGCGTGGCTAAACAAACAAAGATACGAAAGCTTGTAAGTAAATAATCATAAACTCGATTTTCAATGCACATGGCTGTGCCCAGTGCATCCGATAGTTGACGTTTGTTTTTGGTCGAAATAAAATTACTCATTACTATCAGCCCTTATAGCTCAGTGGTAGAGCGCATCACTAGTAAAGCACAAGTAACTTGTGCATGATGAGGTCCTCTGTTCGATCCAGGGTGAGGGCATTCTTTTTGAGAGAAATTAATATATTTTTCTAA